ATTAACAGCCTGCATCCTTATATTTATTTACTCCAAGATAAAGCACCCCACCTCTTTTAACCGCAAGAAAAGGCTCCTGGATCAGCTGATGACATAAAAGATACAGATAACAATGTACTACTACTACAAAAGGCAAACTGATTGGCAGCTGAAACCAGAAATACTGGTTAAAACAATGTTTTGTACCTCCTTTAAATACTAACATGTTTATTATGGCATAGGCTTCCCACTTAATCATACACAAATGTATCCATTGCATCTAATTGTGTTAAAAGCAACAGGGGCAAAAAGCTGGATTTCCATGGTATTTCTGAAAGATGCCAAACACAGAGCCTGATGGAGGGATAGTATTCCACGGTATCTGGAGGAGTATTCCAGAGTTGAAGTGCTATCCCACTTTAGAAGCTGGGCATAGGGGCTGCCCTGAACAGGGCCTTCATTGATAACGTTACAAGATGGTATACTCATGTAGGAATAGGCATTCCTGAAGGTGCCATGGTCCCAAATTGTTTAGGGTGACAAGACAGATTTATTTATTTAAAATATTTATATGCCATCCTACTCGCAAAAAAGCCTCAGGACGGCTTACAATGTCAAATATAACATAAATAACATAAATAAAATTCCCGACCCACACTGGCTGCAATTAAAAATGTAAACAAGACAGTATTAAAACTTATTAAAATACTGCAGGAATAAAAAGGTCTTAACCTGGCACCAAAAAACAAATAACGATGGTGCCAGGCAGACCTCTCTGGGGAGCGCATTCCATAGATGCGATCAAAAGCTTTATACCGGTTGTGTACATGCAGGAGGGGTAGTCTTTATTTTGGTCTTCAGGTGACGAAGCATTAATGTGAGCCATTCCTACCAAAATTAGGAAGTGCTGCAAACATGAAATGCTTTGCCACATGGGTTTGCATGACCACGTGGGGTCATTCATGGAGATGCTGGCAGGAGTTGGGGGCTTTACTGCACAACTGAGTCAAGCCATGTGGAGAAAGCTTGGAAGATTTACAGCAGGGGCTTGCCACAAGGAGGCCATTTTCAGTGATAGTCCCATGGCAAGCATAACACATGGCCCAGTTCCAGTTTGTGCACTTACAAGGGCTGCTACCTGCATTACTGTTTTAATAGATCCATGTACCTTGGCTTTACTGTAAAGTAGATGCATGCTTATTTTGCCATGCACTCCACATGCCACAGCAGGGATGTGTAGTCAGCTGCAGCGTCTTTTGGGAGTGTGTGTGAATACATAGCCCTATAAGGAGTAACCTGGTGAGGCAAAATGGCCCACCCAGTTAAGAACCTAAGAGTCCTGATTACCCATATGACCTCCCATCCTGTTTCTTAAAGTGGCCGGATGCAAACTGGAGGAAGCCTTCCAGCAGGGCCTGAAGGCAGAAGCACTTCCCTGAGAGAGTCACCAAAAGATTATCTAGTCTGACCCACATGGGGTGCTTTAGAGCAGATGGCTCAAGCTGAGCTGAACAAGTAAGTTAGATACTGTACATTGTGAGAGAAGGCCAAGTTTATACAGGAAGATGCTACCCTTTATGAAGCTGTGGGTAGCTTATGTCACAGGTTAAAAAGCTTTGTACCAACAGAAAATATTCTCCCACTCTTCTCTGTAGAGTAGAATACATTGCCACCCTAAGAAAGGTTAGTAGAAACTGAGTATTCTGATGCAACAGAGGGAAATGTTTCTACTCTGGGAAAGCCATGTATTCAGTAGAGTACTAAGTTGCCCAGTATGTTCCTGATGCTATAAGCTTGATTACTGAAGCTGAATTGGGGCTATTTGTTGGTTCTATCAGCTCTTCCTCTGATGTCTCTGGTTTCTCAGGGAAGCTGTATGCTCTGAAATGCAGAACCACAGAGAGCGCATGGATGTGAGTGTATGGCCTAATGGTCCAATATCCTGAGGGCACCACCTTTCCTGAAAAGGTTCAAACTAGCAGTGCGAATTCCTTGATTTCATATGCAGGCAATATTCACTCATTGATTCCTTCTGTTTTTCAAAGTATTCATCTTCAAAGAAGAAGAGAGAACGGTTTTATTGTGCTTGGGTCAAATAGCTTTTGTTCATTTCATTTGCTACAGTTCCAAGCCAGGTCTCAAGTCCAGTTGTCACTTCCTTCTATTTCTGCTTTCTCTCCAAGTCATTAGGCCCATTTTCCTAGAATCGTTACCTCTGGGAAACAAAACAGCCGTTCTGGAATTGGCAGGCTATTTGGGGTGGAGCAAATTCTTCTCAAATGTCCTTTGCTAAAAAAGCGACTCTCTTATGGACACAAAACTGTGCCAAGAGGTTATTTTTCTGAAAACTGTGCAGCATATGATAGAATTGCCATCAATTCCTCTTTTAGGGAAGGGTGGGCCTATAGCTCTCTGCCCTTTCTCTTAATATATATTCACAATTATCTTTTAGACTTACAGTCTCTGGAACAAATCCTGAAAGAATGTACTCTCTGTTTCTGAATTAGAACAAGGCATAATAACATCCTTTGTATTATTCTTTTATTATCAATGTTTAATACATAATCACTCTACACACCCAAAATCTCAAGGAAGGTGAGCTCAATATTATAGCAAATCAAAACATGCGGAATTATCCTTCAGTATGTGACAAAGGCAAATTGACACACTTGTCTCCCTGCATGCTAGGAAGTTCCTGAACAACTGCCATTTATATGGATTGGAACTATGTAAGAGTACTGCTATCCTAGCATGTCAACAAGGCTTAGGCCTCTTGTGTTCACACTGGAAAGCAGGCAAATTAAAATAGAACAAAGCATTAGAACATTCCCCTGACCAAGGAAGAAGAACAAGCTGTCTAGGACAACACACACCCTGCTAAGCAGACACGGGATGGGCATGCATGCGCTGCCCAGCTTGCGTGACTCACTGGTACTGCCACCACTGCACTGCAGCATTTTAGTGGGTTGACTAGCAGGTGTGAGGCAGAGTGATCATCAGGCAGCTCAGAGCTGTCGGTGAACAGAGCTCTCTGTGCTACCTGGCCTGCACCAAGCCCCCTGAGCTCACCTTCTGGCTGCAGGTGCAATGCATGACAAGCTCTAATGCCAGTGTGGAAGTGGAAGCTGACCTGCGGGTTCCTCACAGTGGTGGCATTAGGTTAGTTCAGACCCTGCCCTAAACTCTGGCCTTGGGGTGAAGTGAAAACCCCATCCAGGGTTCCTGTTTTGGCAGAAAGGCAGGGTACAAAACACATACATATGTACATACATAAACCCTTAGATGATCATGTGCTGTCATGCTGGCAGCCAACTTTTCCCTTCATCCCCAACAACCTTTCCATACTATACAGCTGCCTCTACTTTACCAGACCTGATTTAAAGAAGAAAAAATGTCCCCCGAGGTTGGGCATTTTTGTCTTTTATGCTCACTCATATTATATGCCAAAATTACTGCAGCAATAATGCAGGACTCATCCTGTCCATTGTCACTCCAGGTGGTCTCATTGGAGCCAAGGCCCAGCTCTAGAGACACCACTCTGTATGTGGAAGGAAGGAGACCAGCAAACATCTTCAGCACCTTCCCAAATATTCAAATAAGAGACATCCAGAGAGGCTGTGGAGAGAGCCTTCTGGAGCAGTGATGCAGTGCTGGGGGAAGAGGGCACTGGGAAGCTGGGCAACTCAACAAGGAAAAACAAAACTTTCTGGGGTCTGTCCTTACCATTGAAGACATCTGCTATAACAAAGGGTTAATCTCCAGCCCTGTTAATAGTTCTGTTTATGACATTTGCCAAGCAATAAAGACTGGCATAAATGCTACTGATCTTCCCATTTTTCTAAATATGTGGACATTGTAGAAGGGAACTATTTGGAACTGTTTGAAAACTTGATGACACTAATACCATGGCTCAGCGCTATAAGTCCTTCATAGTGTTCCCAATTCATTTCTCAGTAATCCTTACTGCAACCCTATGAAGTCGGTTAGTATTATTAATTTTCAAAAGTGCTGATTCCCTCCCTCATCAGCCTCTCTTGCTATTCATCCTCTTTTCCATCATGGCTGCTGCTTGCTTGCTTACTTGAGCAGCAGTTCCCTCTTTTCACCTGGGCCAGATTGAAAGGCAGTGGATGAGCAGTTTGCAGTGGGAAAGAGGAGCTACTTCAGTGGGCAGGGCGGTTGAAGAGGATCCTTACAGAAGTGTGGGTCCTTGGCAGGTGCCCGGCTGTACCTAGTTTGGGTGCCAGCCCTGATTTCTGCATTGCCCAAGGACAGGCAGAAACTGAAGGAGAGTGGGCTTGGCTGAGACCACCTAGTACAGTCATGATGAAGCTGAATGCTGAATGGAGGACTTCTCTCACTGGTGCCAAGCTCCATTTCTAAGCAGCTTCTTGATGCTAGAAGTTTTTGAAGTGCTTAATGTGGATGAGAACAACCACCACGTCATCTGCAGACCTGAAGGGAGGGGCTTCGTTTATCCAAGTTTTTAGTGTGCGGCGCTCATATTGTGTGCCAGCCTTACTCCACCTCTTGCCCTCCAGATGAGTTGGGCTAGAACTCCCATTATCCCCACCCACAGTGGGCCACTGTGTGTTTGAAAGGCACCCATTTGGAGAAAGCTGATATAAACAGAAAACTTGTTCTTAAGAGTTAGGTTTTATATATATATATATATAAATATATATATAATCTCAATATCTATCTATCTATCTATCTATCTATCTATCTATCTATCTATCTAT